GATAATTGGGATGGGAGTGTCAGAGACAGTGCGATTGGCACAGGACAGAGCGGAGTTTAGGGCTGTTGTACATAGGGTCGCTATGAGTCGCAGGCGACTTGACGGCACATAACAACAACACAACAATGCATAGCAGTATCTAACCTTGAAGAGCTGGCTTTTAGGGTCACTGTGGAGGTAGAGCAAACTTCATATCACCTCAAACCAACAACCACCACCCTGCCACGGATATGCTACATTTACTATATGCTAGTGTATTCAGTTATCAAAGATTATTCACATTTCAATTCTAAATGTGATAAGGAGAAGGAAGCATTGGTAAACTAACACAAGGAAGACATTTTTTTAAAAAAAATTTATTTTATTAATGTTAATGAACATTTACAGAGAATTTGGATTTCCATTCATTCATTGTTGCACTATTTTCTCTACCCCCCCTCCCCCAAGTTCGTTCCTCTTTTTTTTTCCTTGAAAGTCTATTTTAATTGTCCCATTGCCACAGTGCTTGTCAAAACCAGTTCTGATTAATGTCCTTTGTCAGTGTGTCCTTTGCCATTCCCTATCACGCCTCCCTGAGAGAGATTTCACCCTGATTCATAAGGAAGAGGGGACACCATATTCTCTTAGCTACTAAGGAAGAAATTCTTATGCTAAAGACTTAACAGTCACTTTAAAAAAATTTCTTTCCAGATCTTTTGTAACTTACATTTTAAAAATAAAAGTATTTGAATATGCAATCATACTTCAGAGCTAAGAAGTCTTATCATCAATTTGTTGTAGCTGAATGACCAGCCTGTGTTCAATTACAGTTTTTATTGTCCCTTAGTAGATTGTCAGAATGCATTTGTTTGATTCGTCAAAGTAATTCAAAATTTTGGTCAAATGACATACCAAGAGGAGGGGAAAAAAGACTGAGTGGAGTAATTTCAAAATATCTGACCATTATGTTAATTTAATTAGGAGAGGAAGGATGAAGTACTGTTGTCACTGTTGGCCCTTTAGAAAATGTTCTCGCTGTAATTCATATTCAAGAGATGGCAAAATTGACTTGTCTTCCTGTTAAAGAAGAATAAGAGTAATTCCAGAAGCTTTGCAAAAAATCTGTAGCTTCTAGTTGCCCTAGTTGTAAAGAAAAGTCCTCAACCGTAGTCTTTGTTATATTTTCATCTCCTTTGTGGCCTCCGTGGTTGCTATTCATTGAGCTAACTTCTCCTTCAACACTCAGGACAGTTTTGAATGCAGTCCAGGTCATTTTTCCCCTCCCTTTTTTGCATCATTATCTCCGTATTCTCCCTCACAGGCTATCTGATGCACGAGTTCCACAAGTTTTGGATCGAAGAGGACCCCATGGACATCATGGAATTCAATCGTGTACGGGAGAAGTTCCGCAAGAGGATCATAAAACAGCTGCAGAACCCAGACATGGCGCTGTGCCCACATTTTGCTGCCTCGGAAGGTTTACTCAACATGTAGCTGCCCTCGCTGGTTTTAATGGACGCCCTGGAACACTGCCTCATCGTCATGTTAGATCTCCGCTTAGCTCCCAGCTCACACACTGAATGCACACGGTGATTGTATGCATGCCTTTCTATACAGTATTTTCATCTTTTGGTCCCCTAACTATCAGATCCCCAGAGCCCGTTATTTCTGGAGTGAGTCACCCAGTGACTGCTCACATTGTGGCATTATGCAGTGTTACATTTTGCCTTGACACCCAGGTATGGAGAGAGTTTTCTATTTTTTTAGGTGTTTTTCCCCTCCCCTCCCCTCATTATTCAGCGTTCATGAATTGTATTTCTCTAGCTGTATTTTGTATGTAAGAAATCTAGTGGAATCTCATCCTGTGAAAGGCGTTTAATTTATGGATATGTTTCATGACTACTGCTGATGCTGCTGCTAGCTTTTCAAGCCAAGTTCAAGCTTGGCTCTCATTCCGAAAAAGTATAAGACTTTAAAATAATACAGACAGACACATGATAAGCCAAACTTCCTGCAAATATAGCCGCACTCCCCCCTCAAAATGTAACCAGGCTTTTACAACATACAAACTTAGGTAGCAGCTGTTTTTGTTTGAAATGACGCAGAATTACAATGTGATTGTTTACCCCCTATCCCTGTTGCAATTAGGTCATAGTCATCCGAATACCAAATTATTCGCTTTCTCATAATTCCACTGAGTCGGACACTTAAATATTTGTATGATACTTGGAGCCTCAGAAAAGAAGTAAGCGTATTTTGATGCTGCAGAAGATTCTCCACCACCTGCCTCTTGTGAAGCCCGAGTTAGACTCTGGCGCTGTTCTAATCTAAGTACCTTTGCTTGGGGAACTCAGAGCTGGCTGGTTATTTTTCTATGTTAAAAGGTAATATTTTCAAAACCAACAAACCAAAACATTGCAAGACAATGTATTGCAAGAGAGGAACTCGAGCTGTGTCATTCTGTAGTATTTCTGGAAAATAATGACTCTGTCTCGCATTAGTGGAAGAAGAAGGTTGCTTGAAAGTGGGGAGAAAAAAGAAACACCACATCAGATCATTCCGAAACTGCTAAAAATCATTTTGAAGACCATGATTTAGTTTGGAATTAATGATTGTAGTCTGTTGAATAGTATTTACCATGGCATTTCATACCCATGGTATTTTATATCTTCTATCAATTTTAGTACTATTAGGTGTTTGTGTAATCACTTGCTTATTTAAATGAATTTTGAGTACTGCCTAAGTGTCAGTTCTACGAATAAATGACATGTCATTCTACTGTAACACAGAGTGGATTTCATTTTCATAATTCTGTGCTTGTAGCTTTTCTGAATATGCAAATAATGGGAGTGTGTAGAATGTCAAGGACAGACAACTCAGAGCTGCCTGTAAATCGCACCATCATTCAGTGTTACCAGGTGTAAATTAAATGTGTCACATCTGAGAGACTTTTTTTAGATAACCATGAGACCTCGTGGTGCTTCCGCGGAAGAAGGTGTGCCGGCTTTTCCTCCGTAACTTGCTGTAATGACTGGCTTGTCTGCTGCTAGGCAGCTCATAAAGAGAACATTATGCTGCCTGCTCGTGTCTTCAGTCATTCTAACTCCTCTGGGAGTTTGCCATCCCTTCCCTTTCAGCCGTGTACCAGACGGCAGCATTTAGCATTGCATCCCTCACAGCCCTGTGACATTTCCTAAGAGGAAGCCTGGTGGCACAGTTCTCCACGGGAGAAAGATCTGACAGTCAGCTTCCATAGGGATTTCCATTCTACATGTCCCATAGGACAGTTCTGTTGTGTCCAGAGGATTGCTGGGCATCAGAATCCTCTAGGTGGCAATGGCTGGGACTTTCCTTAAAATGGCAAAGGGAAGGAGTTGATTGGTGCAGGATGTGCACCATGAGTAATGGTGAGAATATATATTCCAGTTCAGAGTAAGTGAGACTGTGTGAGCCAGATAGCTGGCAAGAATACATATTCCTCTTCAGAGTAAGCGAGACTGTGTGAGCCGGGTAGCTGGCCCGTCTTGGGAGCCCTGGCTTTGCATGGCTTTGCACAGCAGCTGCGACTTGCATAAGGTACCCTGTGTCGATTACTCCACATGCATGCAGCATTTGTCAGCCACATGTTGCAATACTGTGTTCCATCCACTGTGGCTTCTTGTCACTGATGTGACTTGATAGCATGTGGCACTTGGGCTGGCTTGTGTCTCTTCTGTTCAGGCGGAAGTACTTGATGCTAACAAATCTGGGAGCTTTCCCTCCCAGCTCCTTGGATGATTTTTCTCTGCTGCAGCTTAACATGACTGCGTAATTTTAGGAAGACCAAATGCTGCCGACTCCTTCGAGCTCTGAGTATTATTAGAGTTCTCACTCACACCTCTTTGTGGAAGATTCATTCTCCCCAATAACACTAAGTGAAGTGAGAAAGAGAAGAGGAGAAGGTTTCAAAAGCATCAAAAATGTGTGAGGTCTCTAACCCCCTTGAGCATTCTTAGCCTGCTTCCATTTTTAAAGTTGATCAAGGGTTGACCACTTAAAATGTAAATTGTGTAACAAGCTGCTTCCAAGTTTACCAAAACACCACTTGCCATCATAGAAACACATTCCACTTTGCACTGCAGTAATAAAGCCCTCTGAAGATGCTGTTTCTGAAAATTGTGACTTCAGTTTGACTTTCTTCCTCACTATATTCCTAATATTGTATTGAAAATACTTTTTTTGCCTGGCTGCCCACTCTTGTCTGTGTTTGGAAAAAGGCTTGGATGGATTCTAGTCCCAATGAATAATATGACCTGATGGGTTCCAAGCCAGGACTTTCTTGACTTTACTGATTATTTCTTTAGGACAACAAAGTAAGCCAGGGCTGCTTGAAGATAATAAAATGTGAGATAAACATCATAAGGAATGATATATCCACAACTCAGGCAAATACTACCCACGTCTCTCACTTTCATAGTATGGCGGAAGAAGTCTATCATAGCAACCAATTGTTACCTGAGATGCTGCTGCTGCTGCTGTTATGTGAGATCGAGGTGGAACCAACTCCCAGCTGACCCTCCAGTGGGTTTTCAGAAGCAGTAAATTGCATGGGAGAAAATTGCCTATCTTTCTCTCTTAGAGCAGCTGGTGCATTAGAACTATCTACCTTTGGGATGGCAGTGCAACTCTTTACCCAGTAGGCCAATACAGCCACCATATCCAAGACACATCAGAGTTATGTGCATGGTCTGAGTGTGGGCAGTTCTACTACCCATGTCTAGTGGTGTGGTACGAGGGGAGCTGCATTGCTGTTCAAACCCACCAATGCTCTGTAGAAGAAAGGTGGGCATTCTCCTCCTTAGTGAGTTAAAGCCCTAGAAACCCAGTGGAGGGTCAGCTCTAAGTCTGTTCTGACCGGATAGCAATGAATGAGTGAGTGGCTATGAAATTGACCACAGGAACTCAAAACCTGGCAAGCAAACTCTGTGGCCTCAGATTATCTATGGAGTCATGACATATGGTGACATATTCCAGTTGAGCAGAGTTGGTAGAGCAGGGGATTGGGAGATGATGGAGATAAGAGGAAAAGGACAGGCAACAGCACAGGTACCAGCCAGAACTGCAGCCGCGTCTAGGAAATGTTCAAGCCACAGGGACATGAACTCTGGGAGGTGCCTCCAACTGCCCAGGGAACTTCCTAGAACTCTTCTGATCTAGAGACAATCATGCAGATACAAAGAACTGAGTGCTACATCAATTATTAGAAGATGAGAGAGATTCTAGTATGGATTCTACCACAGTTGCTGACAGTTGGTGGTTTCGTAGGCCACAGGCTTAATTCCTGGTCCTTCCCTTCCCTTGTCTGTCGTTATGTCCCCAGTAACATGCAAAGTCAGATGGACTTTTGTCCTCTTGCTCATTTTTGTAAACAGACACACTTCTTTTTCTTGGGGGACCATCAGGACGACTTCAACTCTGAGCAGCTGCATGTGGAACAGAACAAAACGCTGCCCAGCCCTGCACCATCCTTGCAAGTGCCGCTGTGCTTGGCCCAGTCCTACACGGTGCCAGTCCATCTCATTGAGTGTCTTCCTCCCTTTTACACTGACCCTTGGGAAAACATTATGTCTTTTCCCGAGGACTGGCTCTCCTGATGTTGTTGTGATGTACTGTTGAGTCAGAACCGCCTCACAGCCGAGCCTCCACCTACTTTCAAAAGTAGTTGATCTCATAGGAGGAGATGCCCATCCTTCCTCTCGAATTCCATGGATTTGAACCTCATGCCTTTGGGCTAGCAACATTCCTCCTCACCATTAAGCTACTACATGGCGAAAGCATAGGAGATAGGTCTCACATCTTTATTTCTAAGAAGCATTCAGAGAAGTTAAATTCACTGTCAAATTCCCAAGAAAGATGGTAAATAGCAGAAAGCCTTAAAATCTGGCTTTTAATCATTATGCTATCTACCTAATTGAGACTATTATTCACTGTCCTGATCACTGTTGTTGTTGTTTTCTATAAAGTTGGAACTGACCCATAGCTGACCCGCCAGTAGGTTTTCAAAGGCTTTGAATCACACAGGAGGATATTGTCCATCCTTCTCCCATGGAGCAGCTGATAGATTCAAACTGCATTCCTTTAGGATTGCAGAGCAGTTTCTTACCATTAGGCCACCAGTGAATTATCAACACACTCCCTACCTCAAGTGATAATGCATGTCTATGCAAATAAGTATCTTCTGCTCAGGTATCTACAGAGTGAATTAATCATAGCTACATATCACAATGTTGTCACACTGTCCTTCAGGACTGCCCCACATTGTTGATCAGAACAATTCACCATTGATATAAATAAGTAAATAAAACCAGTTTTGACCAGCTCATAAACGGTCCTGGTTCTTGACTCCATCGAGAGCTCTAAGAGGCTGGGTGCTTCCCATTGGGTTGTGGGAAGCCTCAAGACGGTGCATCTGCGAACCTGTGTGGGATCTGTTCAGACCAGAAGCCACAGGGAAT